GGTGCTTTTGATGTAATTGTCAGACCCTGGGGAACTGGATGCTCACCATCTGAGGTACTTCTTGGCCACTATTCTTGTCACGGTTTTTAAGGCCTGAAGATCCCTTATCTAGGAAAGGAATGGCACTGAACTTGCTGAGAGTGAGCTCCAAAGTCTCATGGCTTCAAAATAAATTACATTGAAGCCAACAATGGTGAGTGATTGAGCCCTTTTACACAGTCTGAACACATTGCAACAAAGTTAAAAACTGACATGAAAACTCGTGATGTCCAAACCTGATGACTATTAGAAGAACTTGTTACTGAAGAAATGGGTCAAAGAAAAAAAAATGAAAGAGGAAGGAAGGAAAAGAATGAAGACTGGAAGGAAAGAAGAAAAGGAAGGGAAGGGAGGGAGGGAGGGAGGCAGGAATGGAAGGAGGAAGAAAATAATTTCCTGGATTGAAAAAAATTATAACTGCATTACAAATTCAGGGACACATTGAAAGGGATCTTTGAGGGAAATTTGAAACTCTAGTGACTAGAATTAAACCTTGAAAAGCACAAATAAATAATTTTATGACTTCACTAAAATATTTGGAAACAAAAACAAACCAAATCTAAACCCAATGGGTATCAAGAGACAAGAAAAATCAGAGTAGCTTTGAAATAGAAAACTTGTCTGGTGATGCATACCTTCAATCCCAGCAGGGAGGAGGCAGAAGCATGCCTTTGAGATATAGGCCCCTCTGTCCTACAGAATGAGTTCCAGGGTAGTCTGAATACAGAGAAAACTGCTTCCTGTTTGGAACTTCAATATTAAATTTTTTCTGGGATCCAGTCCTCCAAAGGTGCTGATCTTGCTCTTAAAGGCCTAGTTATCCGTTTGCATTGGACATTAGCATTTGGAAAAGCCATTGTTTTAATTATTATTTTTCTAGCTTCTGAATCTGAAATCATTCTACTTACTACTGTCAACAGTCTTTTTATAAAACCTGTGAATTCTTCCTTTGTTCCCTGTATAACTTCTGTAAATGATTCAATTTTGCTTCTTGCTTCTCCAAGTCTGTTCTAAGCATTTCAAAACTGCTGCATGGCATAACTAAGAGGTGATCATCATATAGACATTACCTTTCTAAGTAGCATAATCTCCATATCCAAGAATTGGATCTTGGGAGATAGCCATACCCTTTGTTTTAGCCTTATGTTCGATATTCTTTTTTAAAAATTAGTATTAGAGAATCCTCTTACAACTTATATGCATGTTAACAGATGGTAAGTTTTTGATTTTGAATTGTCAAGGAAAAGTGTTTTCTTTTTAAATAAAATTTTAAAAATATGTGTTTATAATGTATACAGTGTTCTGTCTGCATATATACCTGCCTGCCAGAAGAGGGCACCAGATCTTATTATATGTGGTTGTAAGCCACTATGTGGTTGCTAAGAATTGAATTCAGGACCTCTAGAAGAGCACATGGTGCTCCAGCCCCTTTATTTTTATTTTGTATGTACATTGATGTACTGCTTGCAAGTATGCCTTGTGAGAGTGTCAGATCCTCTGAAACTAGAATTACAGATGGTTGTGAACCACCATGTGGTTGCTGGGAATTGAACCAGGGTTTTCTAGAAGAGCAGCCAGTGCTCTCGGCAACGGAGCCATCTCTTCAGCCCCTGTTGAATATTCTTAGCCTCTTTTCAGAACCAGCAAACAATTATAATTGTGGTACTGTTTCTAAGTCAGCTTTCACCAAATTTATACAATCAATAGTGATAACCCTGTAACAAACTGACCAAGTGTTTATCATCTGTTTCACAAATGCTGAGTGGGTGCCCTAAGAGACTACCTGGAAAATTCCTGGAATTTCTAGAAATATAACATTAATACAGGATTCGAAATAGTTCTTATAGAAACTTTTACATTTTAATTTTCCTATAAAATTACTGGATATATTAAAAGTGATCGTCTTAGGACGTTAGGGTATCCCCATTTAAAAATAAAATACAATGCTGAATTTGGTTCTTCATGTATTCTGGGTTTGAATATCTCTATACTCTTTTAACAAGTTTTTCTAAGGTGTGCATCTTAGCACTTATATCAGCCATTTTTGTTTTTGTGTTTGAGAAATGCCAGGAATTATCAAAATAATGACCTTTTCACAAAGACGATAACAGTACATAAACCCTGGTTAAGTTGCTCGGTTTTTAAACCATCCTTTATGTAAGCATACAAAAACGAATACTCTCCATTTTAATGGTGTTTTCCATTTTTTAGTGTGGGGAAAATCTTATCTTTCTAAACTAATCTCTTCCTTTAGAATTTCCAATTAACTTATCAAATCTGCTAACAATGTCAGTGACTGTGAGAGGCACAGCACATCTGAATCTGAGATCTGTCTTGTGGGATGAGCTGAAAGGATCAGCCAGAGGACGGGGCTCTGGGAAAAACCGAAAACCTCCTGAGTTTTGGTGGCAGCAGAAGACTATCTAGAAAAGCTATAACTCAAAAATTCAACAATCTCTTAAGGACTTGGGAGAGACAAAAACAAAAGCAAACTTAGCTGGGCGGGCAGGGACTCAGGTGCGAGTCCCACCTGCAGCTCAGCTTTGGGCCTGGCCCAGTGGCTTCAAAGCCACAGGCAATCGGTTTTTTTTAATGGATTCATATGTTCATGTTGGGTGACAAATTGTAGGTTGAAAAATAAAAGACCCAGAGACAGACATCGGGGTTCAACTTTCAAGCTGAAGACCAGAGAGCAAAGCACCTAATCCAAAACGTATTACCTCTACCCAGCTGACATGGCAATCAGAGGTGAAAAGCTCTCAGTTCCTGCCTGCCCCTCCTCATATTCCTGTCTCTGCCAAGCCATGTCTCTTGTCTCTGCCTTCCTAGTGCTGGGATAAAAGGCCTGTGATCCCAAATGCTGAGATCACCTTTGTGAGACCTGTTTCTTTTAGTGGTAGTCAGTGTGTCCTTGAACTAACAGAGATCTGTCTACCTCTTAATCCTGAATCCTTGGATCAAAGGTGTGTTTCACCTCCGCATAGCTCTATCGCTGCTGGGATTAAAGGTGTGTATCACCACTGTCGGAACTCTATAGCTTTAAACTGGCTGTACATTCTGAATCCTAGTCAAACTTTAATAAATCTTAAAGAATTTATCACCACCATAAAGCATAGCAAACTAACAGAAATAGTAGAATTTTGAGATCAGCAAAACCACCAAAATTAAACCATGCATCTGGGAAGCAGAAGCAGGGATGGTCTGCAGAGTGAGTTCCAGGAAAGGCAGAGCTACATGGAGAAATCCTGTCTCAAAAATCCAAAGAGGAAAAGAAAAGTCCACAACTAAACAGACCCATAACAAATCAAGAAATTCGTATGGTGATTAAAAAAATACCCCTAGGTAAAGAACATCCATGGCCTGATGAAATCACAATAGAATTCTAGGACACATTCAAATGAAAACTGTAATCTCTCTTCCTTGAACTATCAAAGCAAAAAAAGAAACCAGATGAAGCACCATGGCTCTACAGAGCAAGCATGACTGTAATAGCATATCAGCTCAAGAGACAACAACAAATAATTGAGTATCCCTGATGGACATAGATCCTAGTCCATCATTACAATATATCAAACACAATACAGGCCTCCATAAAAAGGATATGTACCATGAACATTTATGGATTTAAGGAAGAAATGGTTCCATATACCTATGTCCCTAGATGTAAAATAAATAGGCTGTCACTGAATTATACTTTTCTATTTGGTTGGTATTTGTGTATGTTTGTTTGTTTTGCTTTGCTTTGTTTTGTTTTGAGACAGGGTTGCTCTGTAGCTCTGGATCTGGTCCTGCAACTAGCTCTGTTTCAGTTTGCCCTGAATTCATAGAGATTCACCTGCCTCTACAACAGGATTGCTGTGATAAAGGCACGTGCAACCACCTTCTTGCTAAACTGTTTTCATTTTAGTATTTTTGTTGATGTTGATTTTGTTGTTGCTTTTGGTTTTTTTTCTTGAACATTTTGTTGTTGTTGTTTTGAGACAGAGTTTCTCGATATAGCTTTGAAGGTTGCCCTGGAACCTGCTTTGTAGACAAGGCTGGCCTGGAAGGCACAAGGATCCACTTGCCTCTGCCTTCCCAAGGGTTGGGTTTAAAGGCACGAGCCACCAACACACAGCTAAGACAAATATATATATCCCAAGCTGCCCTCAGCTTACTGTCCTGCCTTAACCTATAGAGTTCTGTGGATAATTACAGGTAGGTATTAGGGTTTTTTTGTTTGTTTGTTTCTTGGTTTGCTTTGGTTTGTTTGTTTTGTTTCTTCGTCTTTAAAAAAATTATATATGTATTTTAATTTTATGTGCATTGGTATTTTCAGGTACATCGATGTGAGGGTGTCACAAGCCCTTGAATTTGAATTACAATCAGGTGTAAGCTGCCATGTAGGTTCTGGGAATTGAACCCAAGTCCTCTGGAAGAGCAGCCAGTACTCTTGCCCACTGAGCCATCATTCTAGCCCCTTTGGTTATATCAACAGAAGCAGAAATAGTCTTTTGAAAATGACTTTTTCAGAAATCATTTTGTGGAAATTACCTTAAAACATAGTGAATATAAAACAGAGTGACTACTATAAAAATAGGATGACTTTTTCAGAAGAGATTATTTTCCAGTCACAGTACTGGATCTCCATGGGGGGGGGCTAAGCATTTACTGGTATGTCTCACTTACTTGTAGCCATGGCACAGTCAAGTATCTAATTCATTTTTACCCATGAAAGGAGGTTTGTGTATTTATGTTCCTGGCATTTGAAAAATGCAAGCCTGAGACTGTCTTGTCGGGCTTTGAAAAGCTGAGACTGCCTCTCCCTTCTGATTTTTCATATTTCAAGTTTTCAGCCACAAACGGTGTCATTTGTGGTTGGTGGATGTCCCTTGATTTTACTCTTGCACACTGGCCTTTCTGCAAGTGTGATAGAATGAAGTTGTAACATACTGAGCATTTAAATGTGTCTTTTCTTTTAGCCTGAAACATTTGAGCATCTTTTTACCAAGCATGCAGAATCAGTGATATTTGGTCCTCTTCTTCTGGAACCTGAACCCATTTCAGAAGAAATCAGTGTTGATACAGCTTGGAAAAATAAAGATGAGATGGTACCAGCAGCTATGGTCTCACTTCTTTTGACCACTCCAGATCCTGAAAGGGGTTCTATTTGTATTAGTGACCAGTGTAACAGTGCTACCTTCTCTGGGGCTCCGAGCACCCAGGTAACCTGTGAGGATGAGTGTCAGAGACAACCCTCAGTTAAATATGCAACGCTGGTCAGCCACTCAAAAACAGTGGACGCTGATGAAGAGCAGGGGCTTATACATGGTTCTGTCAGCAAGTGCATTGCCAGTGAGCACTACCTGCTGGAAGAGTCTTTCCCTAGCAGCTCCTGGGAGATAGAGACCCAGGCGTTTTTCCTATTATCAGATCAGCAACCCAGCACGATTTCACCACAACTTTCATTCTCGGGGTTGGATGAGCTTTTGGAGCTGGAAGAGGAAGTTTCCCCGAAAAAAATCATAGTGATTTTTGAGGGAGGGTCACCTCCCTCAAAAAAAGAGAGAATGATACGTTTTTGACTGATGAGTCAGGAGTATTGTGCCCATTCCCAGCCCACTGTCTGTTTAGTGACATCAGAATCCTCCAGGACAGTTGCTCACACTTTGTAGAAAATAATTTGAATTTAGGAACCTCTGCTAAGAAGACCTTTGTACCTTACATGCCACAGTTTGAAAGCTGTTCCACGCACAGTCATAAGATAATGGAGAATAAGATGTGTGACCTCACTGTGTAATCTCATCCCAGTCCAGCGTATCATGTGTAATATATTCTTTTACTGTTGTGGGTGTGGGAGACAAGTGTCAGAATCTAGTTCAAAAATGCATGTTTCCAAATTAATTGTGTCTATCCTCTCTCAGTAATACAGACAAAACATACAAGGAAGCCTTCATGAGTCTAGTGATATAGATGGACTCTTATTGAATATAATGCCAAGCCAGCCTGGGGAGGTCTCCTATTTGTAGCTACAAATAAGCCCTGAAAGTAGAATCTCTCTAGACATCTGGCCTCTGTGGAAAGAATAAATCCCAACATTATATTACACCTGAAGAAAGGCCAAACAACTGTGAATGGCATCAGCACCACCTTCATAAACTGGAGGACAGTTCCAGTTGGTCCATAGATCACATGCCATCAGAAAGGGTATTACCAGACTTAGCTACTGCTGCTTCTATTTTTAATTTGTGTTTCTCAAATGTGTAGCAGTTCCTCTCCTGCTAGTTTTATTTTTATATTATATTTCCTCCCTCCCTCTCTCCTTCCTTCCTTTCTTTTATCCTTGTTTTTGAGACAGGATTTAACTATATAGTCCTAGCTAGCCCGGAACTCACTATGTAGACTAGGCTGGACTCTAATTCACAGATATTCACCTGCCTCTGTCCCCCAAGTGCTAGGTTCGCTGCCACCACAACTGGAAATTTCTGTGTACTTTATAAACATCAAACTCATAGTTTTATTTTATCTTTAGTCTTTCTAGCTGGACTTCTGAAATGCTATCTCTTCTTATATCTTTCTTTTCTCTGGGGTAGTATCCATTCAGTGAAGTTTTTTGTATTTTTAATAGTGTTGATCAACAATGATGAGTACCTTCAGATTTTATCTGAGAATATCCTTATTTTACCTTTGATTTAAAATATTTTTAGGGGTCTGGAGAGATGGCTCAGTGGTTAAGAGCTGTGACTGCTCTTCCTGAGGACCGGAGTTCAATTCCTAGCACCCGCATGTCAGCTCACAACTGTTTGGAATTCCAGTTCCAGTTAGGCTAACATCCATGGTAAAACACCAGTGCATATAAAATTATATAAATTTTTAAAAATCGTTAAAAAGTAATAGACACTTAGTAACTTTGTGTATGTATAGGATGCAGTGTGACAGCTCAATAGATATTTCTAAGAAACATTGGTCAGATCTTGATTACTGGCAGAGCCATCACTTCAGACAGACAGGCTGTCCCGACCAATGACTGCTCAGTAAGGTCATCTGTAATTTCATAGGAATCTTGTTTTAGTGCCAAGGCATGCTATCATTGCCAATCCTGATAAACAGAGAAAGAGGTATGGGCAGGAGCCTCAAAAGTAACTGCTTGGAGACGAGGAGGGTCATTGTCACAGGGAGTTAGTTCCAGGTCTGTTGAACAGGGTGTCCACTGATCCTTTAGCAGGAGGGGAATTGGAGCAGGATCATCTGCAGTGGACCATGAGCTTGCTGCCATGCATTGCTGGAGAGACTTTTGAAAAATAATCATTAGAGAGCAATACACAGATGATTCGGCTACAGAGTAAAATTGAAATACTTCCTAGAAAGGTGTAGGAAGGGAGAGTAGTAGGGACATGAGAGCCAGTAAGCCAGTGAGAGGAAGCATGTATAGAGTTGATTCAGGGTCACAGTGCCTAGTCCCACCGCCAGGAGAAATGCAGAGTATCAAAGGAAGGGGACAGGGGAAAACACAGGACAAATGTAAAGAACTGTTTCTGACACAGGGTGAAAAAGATTTCTCTTGTAGCCGGGGCTTCTGAAAGGGTCTTTTTTGTAGCTGTATCAGGAAAAAAAAAATGGAGCTATAGTAGGATGGCAGCCATTGGGATTTGCCTGTGGCTTTGAAGCCACTGGGCCAGGCCCAAAGCTGAGCTGCAGGTGGGACTCGCACCTGAGTCCCTGCCCGCCCAGCTAGGTTTGCTTTTGGTTTTCCAAAGTATTTAAATGATTGTTGAATTTTTGAGTTGTAGTTTTTCTAAACAATCTTCAGCTGTCTTCAAAACTCAGGAGGTTCTTGGTTTTTCCCAGAGCCCTGTGCTCTGGCTGACACTTCCACCTGAAGCCCATAAGACAGATCTCCAATTCAGATGTGCTGTGCCTCACAGTTCACTGACATTGTTAGCAGATTTGATAAGTTAATTGGAAATTCTTAAAGGAAGGGATTGGTTCAAAAAGAGGGTTTTCCCCCCACACACACTATTAAAATACAGAGAATTAGGTTTTGGTATGATTATATAATGGATGGCTTAAAAACGGATTAATTAAATGAAGGGATAAGCAACTTAACCAGGATTGGCATATCATTATTATCATTTTAATATTCTTTATTGTCGTTTGGTAATTTTTGGATTTTTTTCCTCTAAAAATGTTGGTTGATAGAAGCACTAAGATGCAGGCCTTAGAAAAACTTATTAAAACAGAGGGTAGAGATATTCAAATCCAGTGTGAGTAATGGAGAACCAATTTCGGTATTACATTGTAAGTTTAAAAATGAACACTCCAAGGTCTTAAGAGAACCACTTTTAATATAACCGGTAACCTTACAGGAAGTGCTAAATGAAAGAGGTCGTATAAGAACTATTTAGAAGCCTGTGCCAAAGTTAGATTTCTGGAAATTCCAGGGATCTGTAGTCTCATATGGCACCCAATCACCAATTGTGAAGCAGATGATAAACACTTGGTCAGTTTGTAATAGGGTTATCTCTACTGATTGCACAGATTTGATTAAAGCTATCCTAAAGCCTGTATCACAATTACAATTGTTTCCTGGCTCAAAGAAGAGGTTAAGAATATTGAAGAAGGGATGGAGAGATGGCTCGGTAGTTAAGAGCACTGACTACTCTTCCAGAAGAGTAGCCAGCAAATTCCCAGCAAACACATGGTGGCTCACAACCATTTGTAACTCCAGTTCCAAGAAGATCTGATGCCCTCACACAGACATACATGCAGGCAGTACACCAATACACATTAAAAATAAATAAATAAACATTATAAAAAAAAAAGAAAGAAAACACACTTTTCCTTGACAATTCAAAACAGAAAGTTACAGTCTGTTAAAATGCATATAAGTGGTAAGGGGATACTTAACACTAACTTTAAAAATTAATAATGAGCAAAAGGCTATAGCAAGAGTTATGGATAGCTCCCAAACCAAATTCTTGGGGAGATCATGCTACTTTAGAAAGGCAATGTCTCTAAGATGATCCCTCTTGGGTTTATGCCATGCACCAGCCTTGACTGCTTGGGACAGAGTTGGAGAAGCACGGAGGACAATTGAATCACGTACAAAAGTTACACAGGGACCCAGGTAGTCATTCAGAGTACAAAGACTGTCAGCAGCAGGAAATAGAATGGTATCAGATTCAGAAGGTAGAAGAATAATGATTGAAAATATGGCTTTTGAAAATGCTAATTCCCAATGCAAAGGGATAATTAGGCCTTTAAAAGCAAGATCAACACCTTTGTAGGATTAGATCTGAGATACAATTAATATTGAAGCTCACAATCTTGATGATGATACATAGATAGGAGAGGTGGTTTCCAGAGGTATAAAGAAAAATAAAAAATGTCAAATGTTTTAATTGTGGCAGTTAAGGTCACCTGAAAAGGGATTATATAAACAGGCTATTTATTTCTTTTTCCCAGCCATAGGTGTATTGTAAATAAAATTAACCTTTTCCTCCTAACATCTTTGTATAAATAACAATCTAGTTTCATAGAGCATTTCCCCTTCATTCTTGTTAGGAACTCTGCACCATCTTTCTAATGAAAGCAGCAACATTTTGCAGAAAACATAAACTTTACTTATAGACCTTAATACAGCACATAGAAATTGAGAACACAGCTCGTTAAAACAGTATATTTATTTCAGTTTTATTATTTTCTGAAACAGTGTCTCTTTGAAGAAGGGTCTCCCTATACAGTCCTGGCTGTCCTGGAGCCTGTTATGTAGACTAGGCTGGCCTCAAACTTAGAGAGATCTACTCAGCTCTTCTTCGTGGGTGCTGGGATTGAAGGCCTGTGCCACCATGGAGGTAAACTATGATTTGAAATATAAAATAAAATCTCTCCAGGGAGAGACTCCTACGAAATGGTCCAGGTTGCCCTGAAACTCACACTGATCCACCTGCCTGTGCCTGCCTGTGCCTCCCCAGTGCTGGGATTTAAGGCCCGCCCCACCACACCTGGCTTCTTGTTGCAGGTCTTATTGCAGTTATAGGCAGTTTATAGCTCCAGCTTTGTTTCTCCCAGGGAAATTCTGGCTGGCTCATATGTATTTCTTTTTTAGCTGAAATTTAAG